TTTTCTATCTGACCCTCATCTAGATAGAAAGATAGATAGATAGATAGATAGATAGATAGATAGATAGATAGATAGATAGATAGATAGATAGATAGATAGATAGATAGATAGATAGATAGATACATACTGTGTGAAATGCAAAGTGATATTTGACACTAACTAGCCCTCGTGTGTTTGTTTTCAGTCAGGTGTAGGGTGCAGTTATATTGAAAAGCAGACAGGCACCTCTTACGTTTATGCGCGCTTGGTACTCGGCGCTACCGGCCGAGTTGCGTGCGACGCAACGATACACTCCCCCATCCCGGATGAGCGGGCTGCTGACGTTGACGTGCGACACGGTCAGGCCGTCCGACAGCGTGTACTGGCTGGTCTTGTAGGTGGAGTCTCGCACCACGGCCTCGTCGTCCAGCGTCCAGGTGATGGAGGGGGGCGGGGCTCCTTTGGCGCCACACATGAGGGAGAAAGGCTCGCCGGGGTTCACCACGCGCTCGCTGAAGGAAGACACAATACGAGGAGTACCATCTGAGGGAAGAGAGAAAAACAAGACACATATTGGTCAGAATGCAGGATTTAGATCTGTTTATGTCTAAAGCAAACTGATTTATGTGTCTGTTCAATGACACTGCTTTGTGAAGTCCTATTTATGCCTGTACCAATGACATTTGAAATGTATGCACAAGTATTTAGATAAAGAATAAATGTAATCTGCAAAAGAAGAGGACTCAAAATCAAAGTCATCTGTCATTTTGCTCTCCTTAAAGGTCTCCTATTATACTGTTTTTCGTCAATATATTATAGGTCTCAGATATACACAAAACATGTCTCTGAAGTGTTTGGGTCCAAATACCAAACAGATAGCATCCCATAGACCCCTCTGTTTCAGCCCTGTTTCAAAAGTGCTGAATCTCTGTCTGTTGCTTTAGATGAAAATAAGGAGCCACGCCCCTCTGAGAGATATTTGGTTAAAAAACACACAATGGTGCTCTAGGAGGAGATTCAGGTGATAAGGTGGGCGGGTGTTACCTTGGTTAGTGATTGGCTAATGGTTACACAAGCCAAAAAATCGTTATGACATCATAAAGTGGCCTAAATCTGGTCAGCTCATTTTCAGACAGGTTTTTATATAATTGGATCAGGACAAAAAGTGAGCAAATCTTTTTTCCTGAAACTTTCAGAATCTCTTTACACTGAGGGGACACATGTTTATGTATTAAAGACATGAAAAAGTGGATTTTGCATAATAAGGAACCTTTAAACTCCTACAGATCCATCAAAACAGAATTTACACTTGTTTATTTCCCTGCCAGTCTCTGTCCACATACCCTCTAGCAGAATAATGGAAAAGTCCTGAGCGGTGTGGCCCTTTCGGGAGGCGAAGCACTGGTAGGCCCCGGAGTGGAACTTCTGAGCCGCAGTGATCTGCAAGGTGTCGTTGTGCTGCCCCTGGATGGAGATGTGCTGGTCGGGGACGATGGGCTCCGTGTTGCTGTACCAGCTGATGGTGTATTCTGGAGAGCCCTCCACAGTGCAGGTGAAGAACAGCGTGCTGCTGATGCCAGTCTTTAGGTTCTTAGGGGACAGGGTGACTCGTAGGGGATCTGGGAGAAAAACGCAGATTGTTGGTTAGAGCAATATGTGAAATTACACACACAAAAAAAAACATTTTACATTTTTCGAACTTCCATTTTTTATGTTGTGTTTAGCAGAAAACTGTTTGCAAAAAAGCTATATAAATAAGTTAAGTTAAGCACAAGTGTGTATACATTTTGCTTGACTCCCCTTTTATATTCCATTTAGTATTACTTAGACCTTTTACACCGGCAACCTTATAAAATAATTGTTGTTTTTGTTCAAAGATGAATTAAAAAATTTATAAAATTCTGTGGTATCCCTGTGAAGTGTTTCATAAACATAAATAGCTTATTACAGTAGTTGTCCATTGGTTAATATCTTGGGTATTAAGGCTTCACAAACCATTTATCATCCAATAAATACAAATACATTTTATATTTCAGAGTAAATATTTGATTTATACTCTGCTATTTAACTTCCTGTATCTAGACATTATATAAAGTTATACCTCCTTTGCAAAACATTAACAATTTAATTGATCTATAAACATTTTAAATACTTTATTTAGTATGTTTTATTGTCAAGTACCAATTGCTCTTTAATCTTTCAGCTGGATTTACAGTGCTTCACATGGAATCATACATACTATAGGCGTTAGTGTTACTAGAGATGGGGAGGACGAGAGATAGCACAATCAGCGGCGGTGACTCAATCAGATGGACGCACTCATTAAAAAAGCAGCTGGAGATATCCCTTCACATCTCTGTCCACTTATGTGTGTGTGTGTGTGTGAGAGAGAGGGAGAGAGTGTATGTATGTGTGTGTGCAAATGTCAGTGAGCAATAAGGCAGCTGGTGGTGTGTGCTGGGGGGCATTGCTGTGCCCCCCCCCCCCCCTCACCCTGTCAGAGTCACAGAGTGTGCTGCCATGATGTGCCCACTGGCAAAGCCTACCGCCTCTCTATTCTCCCCTCTATCTCGCCTTCTCCCGCTCTTTTGTTTCTTTGTATACTTCACACAATGTACATTTATCTCCGCCTCTCTTATTATCTTGTTATTACATGGTGGATAATGTCATTCCGGAACTGTCTGGATGTCTGATCGTCCCTCCCGTGACCCCCTCGTATTTATCCCCGTCCTTCCTCCTCACCCTCCTCCCTGATGGTGAATGGTGCTGGCAGCTGTGTTACGGATCCAGTCTCAGTGAATTACTGCCCTGCCTCTCTTTTTGAGTGCTGATATGACGGGGCAATCATACAGCTCACACACATGTTTGTTACAGACACACTCGAGGTGCGACTTGTATGTGTGCCTCTAACCAAAAGGAGAGGAGTTTGAGAATGTGTCCGTCTGCCAGGCTGATTCACCGAAAAGACAGCGTGGGAGTCTTTTAGCAAGTGTGTGTGTGTGTGTGTGTGTGTGTGTGTGTGTGTGTGTGTGTGTGTGTGTGTGTGTGTGTGTGTGTGTGTGTGTGTGTGTGTGTGTGTGTGGTTGTGCTCACACACCTATAACGTGAAGCAGTCCAGACACCTCCTTTGAGCCAAAGCTGTTGGTGACCTCGCATGCATAGCTGCCGCTGTCCTCCTGCCTCATGTCGCTGATGGTCAGCCCCGTCAAACGCCGTGTCCAGCGGGCGTCCGAGGGGAGTGGGCGACCGTCTTTTAGCCAGCGCACCGTGGGGGTGGGATACCCTCCCGCTGTGCAGGGGAGCTCGATACTCTGGCCTGCGTTCACCTCGCCTGCTTGGAAACTGTCCAGGATGGTAGGGGAGGACTCGTTTGGGTCTGGAAGGAAAGAGGCGGGGTCATTTTTTGGTTCAAGACAAAGAATGATATGCGTCCATCATGAGTAAACTGACAGGCTGCTCACCCATTACAGAGAGCCTGACTCCGTTGCTTTGGCGCGTCTCGCCGCTGTACTTATGTCTGGTGATGCACCGGTATGTGGAGAGGGCGTCCTCCTTCTGAACATCGGAGATGTAAAGAGCCCCGAAGGAGGTCAGCGAGAACCTGTTACCTGCGGAAGACACATCCATTAAAGACTTACATTAATACCCCCAAAGGAAAACTGCTGACAGACAGAAACACGCAGTAGAAAACCTGCAGCAAGATGATCGCTCTGCTACAAATGCATTGTGCTCATTGCAAAACCGTATTGTGCTAAGAACAAACAGCTGCCTGAACAGTTGGCAGTACCTGGCTGATAATGTTGCCTACCAAAACCTGGCACTCTTTCAAGGCCTGGAGGACACACAGCGGTCATTTGCACCACCCATACACAGCGCAGAGGCAGATTTACGGCAACCCTATACACACAATGAATGAATGAATGAAGCTCTTCATAAAAAAACTGAAATGTTCTGTCTTTCAAGTGTGGTGTTGTCTAAAGTGGAAGATTAAGTGTTTTATTATGCAATGAGAGCTGCTTGTTCTCTTTCCAGCATGTTATGCTACTTAGAGAACCTAAGGTTTGCATATAAACCAATGTTTATGCTGTGTGCAGTGATTGGAGGAAAACCAGAGGCACATTAATGAAGACGTACTATTTCAAACATAACATATTGCAACAGAAATATGTTTGACTGCTCTATGTATCCTCATACAACTGTTCTTCTGATGTATTCCGACGGATTCCTACACATTGAGCGATCAGCCAGACCACTGTAAACGTGACATATTTCAAATGGTTGCAGCATGGTTACAATAAGGCACATTTTGGTTTGCAAGCATCACTTGTGTCTTTTTAGCATCTGTCTTTTAGCATCTGAGCTCCAGGCCAGCAGCTGGACTGGCCTCGTTCAGGTGCACCTGTGTGTTTATCAGCATCAATATTTCATCTACAAGCTCTGTGTTTGTCGGGGCTCTTGCCGAGGTGCTTGAGCAGCCACACTGAAGGCAGCAGTTATGGACTGTGCATGTGTTTGCATGGAATATACCGCATGACCCGAGAGGGAGGCACAGTCTGCAATTTCACAGCAGCCTTTGTTTGCCCCCCTAGAATGAAGCCTTACAGGATAATGAGCACTTTAAGACTGCTATTCCCACAACACCGACGACTCGCCTGTCACAACACTCTGACATAGGCAGGGGGGAGAGAGGGAGAGAGGGAGAGAGTCAGCTGGATCTGACAAAGCCACACTTTCTGTCTTCAGCAGCATCCCTCTGAAGCAACACTGATTAAAACCTATCACACAACATTATTTCCATTATTATCTGGTCATGTTAAGAGCGTGGCTCTTACAAAGAATCTGAATATCAGTGTTTCTTTAGTCGACTCTCTCCATCTCTGTTTGTGTGAACGCTCTCATCGTTTCTCTCTCTCTCAGTCTCGAAGCAGAGTGGCAGACAGAGTAAAATATTAATTACTAAATCACTGTGCTCCCTTAGCTTTTATCCACGCTGACTTGACTAGATAACGAGAAACTGAGCCAATGTGCATTTTACACACACATACTATAGACAGGGACGCACAGCTGCAGCAAAACATGCGGATGATGTCAAGAGAAAATGGTCACAGTTGTTCGTGTTGTATAATTTTTCCAGGGAGTCTGACTGTATCAAACATGTTTACACAAACACTTAGTTTTTCCTCACATTTAAGTTTTCCAACATACTTGAAGACAGAAACTCTTCAGAGTAAAATCCCTGGTTTGGACCCTTTTTCCTGTTGCTGTGTAATTGTACTTCACATGACATGATTTTTATGTCAGAGCTTTGTTGATATATTGACAATGTGTTTTCAATTGTTCTAAATCCATCATGGTTCATTTTCTTTTGCAACACCAAAAACTAGGAAACAATAAAGGTTTCCCCACTTGGTAAATAATGGACTCACTCATGGATCCTCAAAAGAGCTCTGATGGAAACCAAAAGAGGTTTAAGTATTTTCCATCAAGTATAAATGGCTCTTTTAAGAGTTCTTTCAGCCAGAAATAAGCTCTCTGAAAGAAGCTGTGTTGCCTAGAGGATGTCAACATTGTTGGATTTTGTATGAGTTCGGTCAGTCTCAATGAGATGCATTCATGGAGGAAATTGTGCAAAACTGTTTGTGTATCCTGATGCAGATGGGGTCCAGAGGGGAACTTTTATCATCTTAGTTTGTAATATCTGGGTCAGGTGAGATATGTTCATGACAGGAAAATAAATGTCATTCTCAGTTAAAGAAAATATATAAAATAATCTAATATTGACTTATTTTTGAACAAAATCAAGATATTTTCCCATTTATCCAGCCAAGAATTTTTTATATGTTTTTAGAAAAATAAAATGTATTTTTTTAAGTCTATATCGATAACAACCACTTTTTATAAAGGTGGATTTATATGAGAAAAACTGCTCTTATGACATCTAAGTGGTAGAGCCTGTACGCCATGTTTGTTTGTATCAAATGTCAGAGTGCCATTACTCAAATGAATCGTACTGTATGTCCTTAGCGAACCTTTTGTGCAATAAAGGGTTTCTTCCGCTTCCGCTGTTCAATCCAACAAAATGCCAGCGGCCTCGCAGTCACACAACAGGCCGACTTGCTGCTATGACAAATTCCAAAGAGGAGAAAAAGAAAATAATGGAGTATAAATGTGCGAGAGAGAGAATGGGAAGTCTATAAATAGGATACATACTGTAGCTTGTGTGGGTCCAAGAGATGTGTGTGTGAGTGCACCGTGTGTGTGTGTGTGAGAGTTAGTAGCAGCCTCATTTTCTCACATGCAAATGAAGGCGTCGGCGCAAAGATAACGAGGCCCATATTTCCACCTCCTCAGTGGGGCCATTATTTATTGATGTTCTGCATCTTTCCCCCTCCCTCCCACTCTCACGCTTTCTTCCTCCTCTCCCTGTTGCTAGGGTCTTCTCACTGCCATCCTGTTACGATGTCGGTGTACTTTCAGCAATTATTAAAGCACAACGTGTTTGCAATCACCGAGGACGAATCAGTGAAACCCTCTGTGTTGTGTAAATGGGAAAATCAGAACGGTGGAAGAAGTCAGTGTAATGAATTGGAAATAAATCGCATCAGTATGACTTTTCTAAATATAGCTCGTCACATGCAAGAAGCTTTTGCATCCAATCACAAATATTCTCCAAACACATACAACACAACACAGAGTTTGCTGGTTTTCAATGCAGTTTTCAATGTTGTGGCTTCAATTAAGGATAGTAACAGGAACTTAGTTAACTTTCTAACCCTCCAGACACTCAGAATGTAGCTAGAAGATGTCTTTCGGCCTGTTCGTTTGGCAGTTCCTTATGCAGTTTGGAAACTGTATGGACTTCTCAACAGGAAACTAATTTAGCTCTTGGAAGTGAATCTGACCTACATGCTTCAGAGGGGCACACTTCCATATTATAACTAGACTAGTCTATTTTAAGAGACAGCATTTTTTTCCTCTCTTAGCAGGAATTATCTAATGACACTTACCCGTCTGAAATACAGAGTTTCTTGTGTATAAAGGAACAACAATAAAGAACCAATGGAGTGTGAGATTGTGCAGCACTCACAGCTCTGAGTAAAATCACTGGTATTCCGGTGGGATTTCCCGGTATCCATATCTAATCAGTTTGGAAAAAGCTAATGAGCTATCGAACTCACATCCCTGTTCTCCTCCTGGCAGAGCACTACCATCTGATCCCTGGAGTCTCCGTCTTACTCAACACTGTTGACGGTCAAAGGCAGCGGTTCCTTGCCTTGAAGGGCTTTCCCTGTTAAATGAAGGTTAGCGTATCTTCACTGCTCATTATGGTGACTACAAGCTAGCACAAGGAGAAAATGTAGCAGCAGAGGGTCAGAGGCTCCACTCCTCCACCACAACAGCAACAGTACAAATCCTCAGATAGATGCTTGCAGCACAACATTTGTATCCATTAAAGAAGAAGTAAGAAGGGAAAAAAAGGAAATTGACTTTAATAACTTTGTTACCTTTACGATTATGATGCGAAAGAGAGACAGGGAGGGGTTTTCTCAGTTTACGCTGAAATGTGAGCTTCCATTTTTACTCTAAAAAGAGACAAAACACACTCACATGTTCTAATACTCATAACTCACAGGGATCATTGGAGAGTGGTTATAAAATTAAGGGTGTTGAGCAATTTTCCTCTCCTGAAATGTGTTCCCAAAAAAAGCCAGGTACATTACATTTTGATCCAAAAAACATTCCTGTGATGAAGTCCTTTTAACTTTACTTTCAGCAATAAACCCTAAACAGTCATGCATCGCAAAAATGCTTTGAAGACGTTACTTAAATGATACAAAATAAATCTTTCCTATAAAAAAATAATCCCCAAAACGTTGATACACACAAACACAAATGAACACATATGGCACAGAGACGTCAAAGTTAAGTAAATCATAATAATTTAGCATATAAATCACAATCCTTTGAACGTTGTGATGTGAAAAGTGGGCGATATTCTGACTAATCTGAAAAAACAATGTATTCTTTGCCTTACACCCCTGCTCTCAACGGCAAGTTGCAGGGAATTTGAACGAAGGTGAGCAGAGACAGTGGAGGAGGAGCGGATCAAAGACTTGTGACTGTCACAGAAAGAAGAAGAAAGAGGAAAAGAACACAAAACGCAGCATATATTCAGGAGATATTCTCTCTCTGCGGTGCTGGATTGTGCTCACAAATGCAGACACGCCAGGCACAAACACACACAGAAACACCTACCGGGCTCCAAATAGGACAACAAATATTCCCCGGCTGGAGTGAAAAATAATAAACTACGTTATAAAATTAGCCCAGTGGAGTCAGGGAATGGCAGTGGTCCAGTTTTGCAGTAGAGGAATGTGTTAAAGCATGAAAATCAGTGCTGTCGTGCTGAATGAGTGGATTTAGAGGAATGAGAGGGAAGAAAAGACAGTAGGGGAGGAAAGCAAAGGGAAAGATGGAGGGCAAACTGTGGAGGAGATAACAGTCCACGTCTGTGTTCTCCCCTCCTTTTAGACCTTTATGCAAAAATAGGGGTGTTGCATCTGCATTCAAAGCGCGTGCCCACTCCACCCTCCCATTGCTCTCTCCC